CCATTCATTTGTAAGTTGCAATTATCGAAAAATCGGGAGTCCTATTTTGCAATGCTTAAAACCATTGGCAATTATCTGTGGTTTCACATCAATTGACCATGCATCAACTGCATTTATAGTTTCATCAATGACACTTATTTTTGCTGGTTCCAAGACACGGTCTTCATCATTCAAAAGTAGGCCAGTGAAACGCTGAACTAAAATTCTAATACTACTAAAATATGAATTAAAATAACTAATATGTACTACTAAAACATGAATTAAAAAATAAGACTCTATTTGGTTCACTTTTTACACTTTTTAGAAAAAAATTTAGAAAAAAGTTAAAAAAAGTGAGATTGGGCGGGGTATTACGATGTAGGATTTGGAAATAAATAAAAAAACCTCTTATATTGTTTATTTACTAAACACCCTTATAATAAAATATTAAAAGTTACAAAACAAACACCATAACCCACCCATTAAATATGGACAGCCGGCCACCACCGTCGGAGGGCGGCCGGAGTCGTCGTATCGGCGCATGACGACTGGATCTTGCCGGTCGTGCGCCGATATGGCCGGCAAAGGCCGATCTATGGCTAGATCTGGCATTGATAGCCATATCTGGCCATATTTTCGTCAACCGGCCAAAGATACGGCCGTCGTTGAGGTCAACGACGACCATGTGTTGGCCGTGTTGAGACTGGCTACGGACGGTCAAATCTTGGCCACTACCGGCCCGATTCAGCTGGTAGTGCGCTATTATACACGATTGGTCATTTTCGACGGTGGTGGCCGAATCTGGTAAATATGGGTTGCTGGGGTTTTTTTTGCAATTTCTAAAAAAAAATTTAGGGGTATTAATTAAATTAACAATTTAGGGGGTTTAAAAAAAGTTGAATAATATTGAATATTTTGTGGTTTTTACAATTTTACTTATTAACTTTATTGGGAATACTAAGGTAGTATTCCCAAAAGGGAACCAAACGGAGTTAAGAAATCAAAACTATAATTTTTGTAATACAACTTTATTAAGTTATAACTCATTAAAGTAATAAAATTAGTTAGTCCCATCATTAGACTATAGAGAGGTTTTACTGTATATAAGTATTGTGATTATTGAGGTATTAAATTTAAAGTAGTGAATGAATGTCCATTCGGAAACTGAGAATTCATACAAGAATTTCACTGGCAAATTAATTAATTAATAATGCATACATAGATCACCGAACCTGGAATAATGACGGTGGGTACATTTATTTGTTTCTCTCCTTGCCCATCCTGTTGCTGTAAGGAAGGCCATTGCGCGCATGTTTTGATTAATTATTTGCTTGGTCTCGGTGGATTATAATATTGTTTTGTTGCTTATGAAGGCTTTATATTGCATTATTATTATTTAAAAATATCTGAATTCTGAAAACTATTGAACAAAATAAGAAAAAAATTAAAAGATGGAATATTTATAAGATCTTAACAATAAAGGAAAAAAAGGGTCTATTACCAGCGTCGAAGCTGTCTCGAATACCTCTTTTGTACGTAATATTTGTAAATAACACGATACATTGTGGAACGTGAGCTGAAACCTGGAATTAATTTTTCAAGCTCATCTATAGTATTACACTCGGATCCTTTGATTAATTTCATTGGTTTATATATATAACAGTACTGGAAATAGCAATATGTCCCTTCACACCCGACTGAGAAGTGAGAACGGTATGACTAATACTCATCTTAGAATAAGTTTGAATGGATATGGTGTATTCAAAAGTCTTGAATTCAGTCCTGAATCAAGATAAAGGACGGTTGGTTTAGTAAAAATAGGACAAAGCAAGGGACTACGAGGTTGGAAGTTGGAACACTAGGCGTTGGCCCATATAAATTAATTTTACTTTACTGGGTTGGGATCCTTCAACGGTCAACACATCCATCGCCGACGGCTTAATTTAGGGCGTTGTGGGCAAAGAATGTCACAAGTTATGGGCAATTTAAGAAATACATTGCATATGGCTTACATTCCAAAATTAATTAAGGAAGAAAAAGAAGAAAAAAAAATTCCTCTTCTTCTGTATGGGAATGTAGCTTAATTTTTTCACGTTTTCACATTCCTTTCAGGTGGCTGCTTAATTAAAATTTAGGGTGAAAGCATCTTGACTGCTACTTATCTTATAAATCGCATACCATCCTTAGTTTTAGGGGGCAAATCACCTTTTGAAATTCTATTTTCTACCTCACCCTCATACTCACATCTCAAAACTAGTTGTTTATGTTATGCTTCTACTTTCATGCATAATATAACCAAGTTTGAACTATGAGCCAAACCTTGTATTTTTCTTGGCTATCCACATGGTGTTAAAGGATATAAATTGTATGATATGACCAATCATATTGTTTTATCTCTCAAAATGTCATATGCCATGAGTCTTTGTTTCCCCTTGCCACACAAAAATACATCGTTGAACTACAAAATTTTGATTCTTGTGGGCCATGTTCCTCTAATACATATGACTTGTTTGATTTTTTCCCTAGACAATATAGATCAGACCCTAGCAATTTTAAAGATGATTAATCTCGAATGGCTACTTAAGGTCCATCTAATCCATCCTCCGAAAGTCCATCCATTTATGAACCTCATCCATCTGTTGCAAACTTGAATCAGCAAAATTCAACACCTTCGAATATAACACACTCTCTCCTACAGATTTTGTACCTCCTAGAAGGTCAAAAAGAACCTGGCAACAACCAAGATATTTGAAGACTTCCGCTGTCACTCTGTCCAATCCAAGGATCAATCAATACCATCTGGTGCTTTGTATGATAGAATTTGAGGTGGGCCTAACTCTTCATCCAATAAGGTCTTGTTGAATGAGATGATTACCCCCTCTTATAAACCAGTAGGCTTGAGCGTGCCTAGTCGGTGTGGGACTCTAACACTCCCCCTCACGGTCAAGTCCATATATTGGGTCATGCCTATTGATGGAGGTAGTTGCTAGCTGTAACTCTTCACCCGCTACTCAAGCACTCAACTCAATTGGGCCTAGCTCTAATACCATGATAAAATTTGAGGTGGGCCTGACTCCTCACCCAATAAAGTCTTGTGGAATTGGAAGATTACCCACTCTTATAAACCAGTAGGCTTGAGCGTGCCTAGTCGGTGTGGGACTCCAATAGTATCCTCTTGCCTCTATTTATCTTATCATCGCTTGTCTCCTACACATAATTTTTTTCTTTAGCTATATCTAAACATTATGAACCTAAAAACTATCATGAAGCTTGTAGTTTACCTCAGTGGCAGAATGTTATGGATTTAAAAATTAGAGCACTTGAGGATAACAATACTTGGACACTTACTAATTGCCATCTGGTAAAATCCCCATTAGGTGTAAATGGGTATACAAAGCTAAACACAATTCTGATGAAAGTATAGAAAAATACAAAGACGTTTGGTAGCTAAGGGTTATACTTAACGTGAAGGAATTGACTATTTTGAAACTTTTTCACTAGCTGTGAAAATAACAACAGTGCGTACTATACTTGCTTTAGCAGCAATTCATGATTGGTATCTTCATCAACTTGATGTTAATAATGTTTTTTTTGCATGGTGGGTTGGATGAAGAAGTTTATATGGCGATGCCTCTTGATTTTCATGCTACGAAACCATCACAAGTGTTGAAATTAAACAAGTCCCTCTATGGATTAAAGCAAGCTTCAAGACAATGGTTTGCCAAATCTTCAAACACTTTTTTGTCTAGTGGCTTTCAAAAATCGAGGATAGACAACTCATTGTTTATCAAAGAAGATGGTAACTTCTTTATTGCTTTATTGGTTTATGTAGATGATATTGTCTTAGTTTCAAATGACTCTCATCGAATTCAAGACTTCACTACATATTTAAATGCACAGTTCAAATTAAAGGATTTAGGTCCTTTGAAATATTTTCTTGGCTTGGAAATTTCTAGAGCTAAAAATGGGATTACTTTGTGTCAACGTAAATATGCTTTGGAATTGTTAGAGGAGACTGGTCTTCTTGCTGCCAGACCTGCTAAATTTCCTATGGATACATAGATTAAATTGTCAAGATTGGAGGGTGAATTGCTTACAGATGCAACGCAGTATCGAAGATTGATTAGACGATTGTTGTATCTAACTATCACAAGGCCGATTTGTCATATGCAGTTCAAACTCTTAGTTAGTTTCTTGCTGAGCTGAGAAAACCACATTGGGATGCTACTATAAGAGTTCTCCAGTACATCAAACTTGCTTTAGCACAAGGGATATTTTATTCTTGTCAATCACAAGTTCATCTAAAAGGGTTTTCTGATTCAGATTGGGTAGGTTGTATTGACATAAGGCGATCAGTCATATGGACATGTATTTTTCTTGGGAATTCTCTTATGTCATGGAAATCAAAAAAGCAAAAGACTGTCTCTAGGTCTTCTGCTGAAGCAGAATACAGAGCAATGAGTTCTACTGCATCTGAATTAGTATGGTTGCTGTAGCTACTTAGGGATTTATCAATTGAACATTCTCAACCAGCACTCTTATTTTGTGATAATTAGGTTGCCCTTCATATAGCAGCAAATCCGGTTTATCATGAACGTACAAAACACGTCAAAGTAAACTGTCATTTCATTCGGGAGCTGATACAAAATGGTGCAATCAAAACTCATCATGTTTGTACTGAGAATCAATTGTCTGACATCTGCACAAAAGCACTTGGTTATCGACCCTTTTCCTCTTTACTATCCAAGATGGGTGTTTATGACGTAAACACACCATCTTGAGGGGGCATATTGAACGGTATTTGATTACCCAGTCAAACGACAAGAAGATCCCAAGATATTCGCACCAGAATTTTGATTTGCTGCAGATCATATCAGCAAGATTTTCATGTTTTTATCCTTTTATGTTTTGTTTCTATCTTAGCGAGACTCTCACGATTCTTGTTTTGATAGTTGTATAAATATACTGCTGTACATGCAATAGTAGATATAGAATAATAAAGCAATTATTTTATTCTTCATTTCTTGAAAAGAACAAAGTGGAGAAATCTTCCAATTTTTTCTTTTACATTAATCAGAGCACAACATAACAACAAATTGAAGAATATATGAGTACATCTTTTCAATTCTGACCCTCACAAACTTTGTGACATATTAATAATCCCAACAATGGTTGAACATAATTCATGTAAATATAAGAACAAAAATTATAGAAAATATATTATATCGGATAAATTTGACGGAGGTACCTGAACATGTCAGATTAAAATCATACTTCAATAAATGACGCTAAACAATTTTACTTCTACACATACGTATTTTGAGATGCCATTACCAATTCTTGGAAACGCATTACTTGTGGCTTTCATTTGAATACATGTTTCACAATTCCAGGAATATGAGTATTCATGAAGTAATCTTCCCAATCAATGCACTTGGAATCGAAGTAAAATATGTCTGTCTCTACTGAACTATCTTCTCTGGCTGCCGTTAGCAACTTCACCGTGTTTTTGTCATCGAATCTATATATATTTATATATATATACATGCAAAACAAATAGTTAATTATATTTCCGATATGATCATCATCAAGTAATGAATTTAGTTTACTTTGGTAGATGTATCACTAAAATTAAGCATAGATACGTACATGCCATTGAAGAATAAGTATGGCCGGTAAAGTTCCACTAATCGCATCACGAATTTTATCTTCCGACTGAGATCACTATGCATCCCCTTAAAGTATTGGCAAAATGCTGTATTTACCAATTCTAATCCCTGTAAATGGTATTCAACCAAGGTCAAATTGAAGATATTATGCTAAAATTCAAATGACACTTTTTAACGTACGTTTCGAGAAAAAAGTATTCGTTTACTAATAAAACGTGTAAAATACTCTGTTTATTTAGTGACAGAGTAGTGTTCGTTGATTGATAAAAAAGTTGTACAAACAAGTTTGTGTTCTTTTTTAATTTAGTTTTTAAACCAGGTGCCCTCCAAATAATAATACCTTGTATATATGTTTTGCGAAAATATAATATAACTAGAGGTTTAGTAGTACACCTTGAGCGGTAGCATGTAACGAATGGCCATGTATCTGTGAAAGCTAGCCATGCTATCCATGACATTAATCTTGCCAACCATGACTGGCTTTCCATCCTTATTAATCCATGGTCTCTTAGTAAAATATCGATAGCCGTAATCTTGAAGGTCGCTGTATCTCAGAGGATTTCTTAAAGAGGATCCGACCTGGTAAATTACATTACCAGATTGTTGCTTTGCATGAGCGACCATAGCCACAATTATAGCATTCACCACCATATCAGCCGGTATCTGCATAATTAACAACCTTTTAAATTTTAAAAGCCGAAGAGCAAAGTATGCATGTGCTTATTCTATATCCAAATGTAATTAAATACACGTAAAAATAAGTTAAAGGAAATAGGATTACCGCGTCAATAACTGCATTGAGGTCTCCCAGAAAGCAAGTTAATCTCCCTTTACCATAGCCAACGGCTAAGCTATCAATTGTTCTGTAAACAAAAATTATACACTTTCAGAAACCCTAATTTAAGATAATGCTACAATCCAAATGAATGATAAAGTTCGAATTTGGATGGATAAAATAGGAAATAGTGTGCAATTATAAGAATAGAATGACCTACCTTATACCTTCAGCCCAGCCGGAGAATGGTTCTTTGTAAGTACTGGTTACGATAGTAGGGCGAATGGTGACCACAGATAAATTTTCTTTCAAGTCATCTACTAGCATCTCTCCCATTGCCTTTGTGAATACATATGTGTTCGGCCATCCATACATCTTTGCTCTGATAAATTTGTCACAATTATCAGTTTCGGCTGAGTGACATAAACTTAAAAGGACTGTTGGTAAAACCAAGGAAAAAATGGTGGCCCAAGTTTGTAAATGGAAGATGAACTCACTAAAAGTAACTACACATACTGAATTAACATAAACATAAGACCCAAAAAGAAATAAAATTACAGATAAATATCAACATCCAACGTTGTTTCAACCAAAAAAAAAAAAAAAGATTGATCATAGTAGTTTAAGATGCATATGATATGGGTCTAATTGTTGGACAGCGACCTATTAATTTAGCGTTATCTCAAAAGACACTATAGCTGGAAAAAAAAAAAAAAAATTTACCAAACATATATAAAACAACTTTGAGTAATAAAATCTTCATACGCAAATTCAAGAAAAATATTTTTGATCATTTATTAGTAGATGTTAATTAATTCAACTAAGCTAAAACATTTATGAAAAATCAATTATATAATTAAAAAAGTAATACTATAGTTAACAAAGGATGAACACCAAATTAGTGCACCAAATGATGTAGCGCAATCCTGAAAGTTAATTCATTATAAATTAATATTAATCAACAGTCAAGATTATACCACATCATTCGGTGCATAGATTCGATGTGTAATTTTCGGTAACTCTATCATTTTACTAATTAAAATAGCATTTATGAAGCTCTTAATTTTCCTTTTGTAGTCAGCATGGAATTAATTAAAGCTTAACCAACTCGTGAGTTGGTAGTGCATGTTCTGAGGTCTGCCAGCTTCTGAATAACTGGAAGAATTGACGATTCCTTCCATCAATTTGAGAAGCTGAGGCCGATGTTTGGGTGGTGAGTCAATTTAAGTAATAAATATTCTGATAGGAGTGCACTGAATGGACTTCGAGGCAACCAAAAATGTGATAGCTAAAGGTAGAATGGACGTTCACTTATAAGCTAAGACCTCTAAACTCGAGTGTGACGTTTATACGTGTTATTTATCCTAGATCTGAGTTGAAAATACCCCAACTTAAATAATTAATATGAGTGATTTCACTTAAGTGTTCCATCATTGGGGTTAACCCACTAGCCACTCTTGGATTATCCTCAATATGAAATATAAGCTTTACTTAATGTGCTTTATTTATGAATTACTATATTTTAAGCCTTTTCATTTTTTGGTGATTGAGTGTGTTCGAATCAGCTTGTATGCACCCTAACTAATCCTCTGGAGCTCAGAAGTTAACGGTTGGATAAATTTCCTCAATGGCCATCCCTTATTAACAACTCAGGTCGGTCAAATTCAAAACCTTATAAATAATACATCCAAGAGTCTTAGTCAACCGCGGACCATCCAACGGTGGTTTATATTTTAAGCTTTTGATGAGCATGTTAATCAATCTACCCAGTGGTGGCAAATTGAGTAAATTATTCAACATTTTAACTACACTGTTAAACAATGACAGCAGGAGCGACTAAGACTTTTGTTTAAAATTTTGTTGCCATTAGTATATTTCTAGTGTCAATATTTGGACATATGCAATACCAAGCAACTTTGTCCTTATTACTTTAGCCGGTAACCATACATACCAACTTCCACAAATTAAGAAATAATTAATTGATGTGGTAACAGACTATCTGAGATCCCTTAATTGAGGACAAACAATTTAATAGAATTCCTCTTTTAAATATTATCAGCCCGGTCCAGCTATCTTCTTGCATGAATAATAGAGGATTTATCATGTCAATAAGGACCTATGACCTAACGGAATTATTAATTTTCTTCTTATATATGCACATGGAAATAGTCCTAGATATAGCAAGCTGCATACGTAGTGATATTAATAAAAAGATAAGTAAGATTAAAGAGAAATTAATTCAAGGTTCTAGTACTAGGAAATTGATTATTGTAAAGAAAACTTCAATAAAAAAACTTTGAAATTGAAATAACTTATAGAGATTAATTTATGATTTGGTATATGTTTCACGAACCTTTTGAGTCCCAAATCTTTCATGGCCAATTTAATTTCATCTTCTGTAGCTCCCTCGGCTTGGAGTTCGTTAAGTTCTTGCTCCATCACTTTCTTCTCCACATCAATATCTAATCCAGATGTACCATTAAGTGTCTCGCCCATACGATATGACTTCTCTAGTGACAATCCTGGCGTTTCCCCACTAACATAAGCTGAAATTACGAAATCACTTGCTTAATTAATATCAAAGTTTTTTATTTTTTTCTATAAACACATAACACATTAAATAAATTATTAATGATTATACTTACCAGTGGATACATGAACAAAGACCTTTAGCTTATTACATTTCTTTGCGAAGTTCAAGACATTCTTAGCTCCCAATGTGTTAATACCAAGTGCAACATCATATCTGCATAAAAATTAGAAGGAATTTGAATTAATTTTTTTTTATCTATTTTTCAGAATAAATTGTTTAATCAAACAGTTGATGATTACTTGATTCGTCACCTTTCATCAAAGTTGGTTGTCGCGGCTAAATTAATGACGACATCTAATTCTTTCAACATCTCTTCTCTTAAATTAGAGTCCTTCAATCCCAAGTTCTCCAAAGAAATGTCTCCAGGGACTAGAGTGGTCTTCTCTGAGAAAATCGAATTTAGATTTGTACCACATTTTTCCTTTAGAACCCTAAACAAGTCCTTCGCTATCACCTGTAAATAAATTGGTAGAATAAATCAATAATGAAAAGATTAGATGATATATTATTTAGCCTTTTAACGAATAATTCATTGTAGCTAAAAAAAGGAGAAAGAAGATAAACAGCATAAAACAAGATTGCCATTTCTTCTTCATCGTTCATGTCATGTTTAGTTGAGAAGGAAATTAAAATATTCAACTACGTATACATATTTATATACCTCATTATGGAAGCGATGAGTGGCTACTTTAGCATCTGCAGCTCTCAAGAGAAGATACAACTTCTTCACATTTGGTTGAACCCTCAAAATTTTTTCCAGAAAAACTGAAACAACAAAACCGATCAGTACAATATTAAAAAGAAAAAGCTGACAAAGAAAGAGAAGAGAAACAAGAAGCATATGTATATACTCTTTGCCAAGAACCCAGTTGCACCAGTGACTAGAATGCTTTTATTTTCAAGAAACTGGAGAATACTTCCCAACTCCATTGGAATGATATTAAACAGAGAGAAATGAATGAGTAGTAGTAGTACTAGTAGTACTGAACGTTGAAGAGAAACAAATTGGCAGAATGGTTTAAGGAAAATATGTGGCTGGAGCCTTGAGTTGATATAGACCCTAGGAAGAGACAGCATTTATGAGGTTGAGTGCACGCTAACAGTTGCTCATTATTTTCCCTGGTAGATTGGTTGTCAGTTTACTTGAACCATTTTTTTTTTCTCTTTTTTAATCAAACAATATAACACTACACCGAATTCTTTAATAAAATACTATACGGGTTTAATAACTTTAATTATTTGCTGTGATGCATTTGGGTGAGATGGTCACCTACACAAAGCCATTTTACATGTCACACTGTTGGATAGGGTTCTTGACCTAACCTCTTCAGATATTTACGCGCCCTGCCGTCTAGGAATAAGACTGTCTTGGCTCGCTGCTGCTATATCTACCCATTCACATTATGGATAACTTCATCTACACCCCTTAGAAGTTTGAGAACATACTATATTGACTACTGAAATTTTTTAATAAAATAATGAACATCCCTTTCCTTTTGCTTCATAATACAAAATGAAGTTGACTTTAATTGAAGTTGCAAAAGAAAAGCTAAGATATATTTGTCTTTGAATTTCACATTTCAAAATAAGTCAATAGTTAAAATAATTTTTATTAAAATAAAATACCCTAATATTGGACTGTCACTACGATTTTTAAATTATTAAGAATTGTATTAATATGAAGCCAACTTTTATTAGGTGTTTATCTGATATTTACTTGATTTTGATATTCAGTAATTGCTGCTGTTCACTTCAGGTCAGTCGACTTTTCTGAGTTCTGATGCATACACGTGTAAGTATAAAAACATAGGCTTTCAAGTCTGTATTTTGGGTACAAATTGCTTTCAAATTTGGTTCATCATAAAGTCTCTGTACTACTTTTATTTGGTTCAATGAATTTGACTTGTGAACAGAAATGGGGCTAAATATTAATTACGATGGCTTTCAATATATACTTTGAACCGACTTCTTTTTTTTTTTTTTTTGGAATTATTTTTGATAGATTAACTGTTCTTTAAAATTAAACATGTCTGAACAGTTCATCTTCAAGATATCACGTTTAAAGCACAAATTAATAACAAAATTGGTTGGCATTTGAGACTCGGGAGAGCTCAGCCGACAGGCAGCCAGCCATTTGTTGTGCCTTCATCAACTAAGATAAATGAAGACAATAGATATATACAGTAAAACTCCTCTATAATGATATTCAATATAGAAATAAACTCTATATAGTCATAAAAAAATCTAGTCCCAATTTAGGATAATTATAAATAAGAATAAACTTCACATTGTAATAAGTTATAATTTTTCTAATTCCCGTCTTAAGGAAAGTCACCTCCATATAGTAATAATTATCTGTATATTACCAAAAAAATATATGTTATGTTACATTAAAGGTTTAAGATGAAATAAAATATTTATCTAAAGTTGTTTGGGACAATGATTTATATTTTTAGAGTTGTTTCTACATCTTTTACCTTACTAGTATGTAATAACTTGCTAGCATAAATACATTTTTGTTGAAGTCAAAATATTTTTAGCTTCTCAAGTATGTTTAGAGATTCATGACACGAAACTTTTTATATTTCCATACAATCATCCTTAAGATTATTTCCTTTACCTTCTTGTCTAATTGTAGTAATGATTTATTCTTCGGTTAAAGTATACATGATTTGTTGCTCATTTGGATGATCGAGGATGACATTAATATCTATTCGATTAATGTAGTGAAATTGTCGAATCTGATCACTCAATTTTGCAATGACTCTTTTATTTTTCTTGTCCACTTCATTTGTAAGTTGCAATTCATCGAAATCGGGAGTCCTAATTTTGCAATGCTTAAAACCATTGGCAATTATCTGTGGTTTCACATCAATTGACCATGCATCAACTGCATTTATAGTTTCATCAATGACACTTATTTTTGCTGGTTCCAAGACACGGTCTTCTATCTATTCAAAAGTAGGCCAGTGAAACGCTGAACTAAAATTCTAATACTACTAAAATATGAATTAAAATCCTAATATTGTACTACTAAAACATGAATTAAAAAATAAGACTCTATTTGGTTCACTTTTTTACACTTTTTAGAAAAAAATTTAGAAAAAAGTTAAAAAAAGTTGAATTGGGCGGGTATTACGATGTAGGATTTGGAAATAAATAAAAATACCTCTTATATTTGTTTATTTACTAAACACCCTTATAATAAAATATTAAAAGTTAACAAAAACACCCATAACCCACCCATTAAATATGGACAGCCGGCCACCACCGTCGGAGGGCGGCCGGAGTCGTCGTATCGGCGCATGACCGACTGGATCTTGCCGGTCGTGCGCCGATATGGCCGGCAAAGGCCAGATCTATGGCTAGATCTGGCCATTGATAGCCATATCTGGCCATATTTTCTCGTCAACGACGGCCAAAGATACGGCCGTCGTTGATGGTCAACGACGACCATGTGTTGGCCGTCGTTGACGACTGGCTACGGACGGTCAAATCTTTGGCCACTACCGGCCAGATTCAGCTGGTAGTGCGCTATTATACCAGATTCTGGTCATTTTCCGACGGTGGTGGCCGGAATCTGGTAAATATGGGTTGCTGGGGTTTTTTTGCAATTTCTAAAAAAAAATTTAGGGGTATTTAATTAAATTAACAAATTTAGGGGGTTTAAAAAAAGTTGAATAATATTGAATAATTTTGTGAGTTTTTACAATTTTACTTATTAACTTTATTGGGAATACTAATGGTAGTATTCCCAAAAGGGAACCAAACGGAGTCTAAGAAATCAAAACTATAATTTTTGTAACTACAACTTTATTAAGTTATAACCTCATTACAGTAATAAAATTAGTTAGTCCCATCATTATGACTATAGAGAGGTTTTACTGTATATAAGTATATGTGATTATTGAGGTATTAAATTTAAAGTAGTGAATGAATGTCCATTCGGAAACTGAGAATTCATACAAGAATTTCACTGGCAAATTAATTAATTAATTAATGCATACATAGATCCACCTAACCTGGAATAATGACAGTGGGATCATTTATTTGTTTCTCTCCTTGCCCATCCTGTTGCTGTAAGGAAGGCCATTGCGCGCATGTTTTGATTAATTATTTGCTTGGTCTCGGTCTCGGTCTCGATTATAATATTGTTTTGTTGCTTATGAAGGCTTTATATTGCATTATTATTATTTATAAAAATATCTGAATTCTGAAAACTATTGAACAAAATAAGAAAAAAAATTAAAAAGATGGAATATTTATAAGATTCTTAACAATAAAAGGAAAAAGGGTCTATTACAGCGTCGAAGCTGTCTCGTAATACCCTCTTTAGTACAGTAATATTTGTAAATAACACGATACATTGTGGAACGTGAGTTGAAACCCTGTTAATTAATTTCATTAGCTCATCTATAGTATTACACTCGGAATCCTTTTGATTAATTTCATTGGTTTATATATATATATATATAACAGTACTGGAAATAGCAATATGTCCCTTCACACCCGACTGAGAAGTGAGAACGGTATGACTAATACTCATCTTAGAATAAAAGTTTGAATGGATATGGTGTATTCAAAAGTCTTGAATTCCAGTCCCTGAATCAAAGATTAAAGGGCAGTTGGTTTAGTAAAAATAGGACAAAGCAAGGGACTACGAGGTTGGAAGTTGGAACACTAGGAGTTGGCCATCATATAATTAATTTTACTTTACTGGGTTTGGGATCCTTCAACGGTCAACACATCCATCGCCGACGGCTTAATTTATGGGCGTTGTGGGCAAAGAATGTCACAAGTTATGGAGCACATTTAAGAAATACATTGCATATGGCTTACATTCCAAAATATAATTAAGGAAGAAAAAGAAGAAAAAAAATTCCTCTTCTTCTGTATGGGAATGTAGCTTAATTTTTTCACGTTTTCACATTCCTTTCAAGGTGGATGCTTAATTTCTCGTCCAGGTTTCCCACATGGTGTATTTCACAATAAATAATATGGTTTAAAACCTTTATCTCCCTTTCCCTTATAGCTCAATGATTTCGAGAATATCATCAAACCTCCTATGCCTTTAATTAAAAAGATGGTTAGAGATATAAGATTTTGTTAATATGAATTATAAAAAAATTGGAAAAGGGAACAAATCATGCATTATTTCACATCTCTAATTATTAAAATAACTTAGGGTATGGGTTTCTTATGATATTATAAAAACCTTTAGGGTGTAAAGTTTACCCTAATAATGTCCATTGTGGACTCTTATAATTAATAATTATTGTTTCTATTGTTATTTTATTTCAAAGTGAGCTAGTGGATGAAAATATATATACTAGATTTAGACAGCACTATTGATAGATTTGCTCTCTTTATATCTTTACATTTGTGGTTTACTTAGAATATTAGGTTTGTAGGGTGTTCAATGAACCTTAAAAATTAGCTAAAATCTGTACAAGTTAGATCAGATACCCCAATTGTTTAAAAAAAAAAAAAAAAGAATAGTGAACACCGGCGATAACATGTTTAAAATACAAGCTTTTCTCACAAAAATTAACCACTTGATCAATAAAACAATCCTTATTAGCAATTGTTATTGTAACTTGTAAGATCATTCAAAATATGAACACTACAAAGATGAGATCTTGAATGATATCTCACATGATATATTTAATATAATGAATGAAAAGTTTTGTCCTTATATAAGCTTGCTTTGCCATCAAACAAATCTCAACAAATTAAGCATGCAAATCGTTTTCATGTTAAGCATTCTGTTATAATTGGCTCAAATAGGATGTAAATTTGGTGGCTTAACATATAATTTCGACACGACAAGTCTCGATGCATTTCTTATTACTATGGTTTACATAATCGGTGACATGAATATCCCTAATCAATATTGGTAAATTAGAATTAGGTGAGCAGTCTCTTTATGGATTTGGTGAGATGGTCGCTGGAAAGACCATGAACGTTTTAATAATCTTTTAAATAATACATCTTTTGTCCATGTTTCCCATCTTAAAATAGTAATTT